ATTCATGTTAATGTCCCTCTTGTTGTGCATATTGCTGAATAAGGCTACGTACTGCTTTGATTAAATGCTTATTTTGCGATATCATTAGCGGATCAAGACGGATTCATGGACTCGTCCAAAAAGACCGACATCACCGACTCAAATACAGTCACAACACCAAGTTGCAGCTGCTCAGACACCGATGACCATTCTTATCCACAACAACGGTCTAGTGGAAAATCTCCCCATCCCTCACACCAAAGTTCGACGAATCAGAGTCAAGATGCTGCGTTGGGCACATCAGAGATCTGCAATCCTGTTTCGGTCGCCGAGTTTTTCTCAAGGAGCCCCCAGCTGACGGAATGCAGGAGCATTCCGAGGGCTACTCCAGCTGAAGTTTGTGGTGATATAACTGGTCGTTCCTGCCAGAGCTTGAACGCATATTCTGCGATCAACAGGACACCCACGCAGCCAGTTGACACCGCCAACACTCCTGCAACATCATCGGGGCAAGGCTCTATGCCACCTTCGTATGTCCATCATCCCCTCTCGCATGCTGCCCCAAAAGATCCTTTACAGAATCAGACTGGTTCATCCAAAGGAAATAAAGCAACCGGGGTCGACATCACCCTAGCTGCTGCTCTACGTTCCTCTCTAACTTGCCGGGATTTCGGACATAGTGCTCCATTGTCCACCCCCACTACTACTGCGTCTAGTATGTCTAAGGACAGAAGTGGCAGTACACATGAGAGAGACTGGCGAGCCAGCATCTATCAAGAACTCCGAGGCCACGTTGTCCGTGGAATGTAAGTGCCAAATTATGTGTTAACTGTGTTTTTAGATTGAGGTATATTTTTGGCCGGCAGCCACCTTCCTATGTCCAACATCCCCGCTCGAAATCCGCGCCGTGTGCAGCGTCACGTTTTAACACCCAAACATACTCTTATGCAAAGACGATTGCTTCGAACCAGACCTCCCAAACCCGTAGGCCATTGTCCGCTAGAGATGCATTAAATGTGCTGTTAATTCAACAACAGTTTCTGCCGTTGTTGCAAGCTGATTTTTGTCGTCAGGAACAGGAACATTCCGCTCCCTGCACTAACCGTCGCTGTCGAACCATGCGAAACGTCCTCCGGCATATTCACACGTGCACCGAAGGAATGAATTGTCGTGGACCCCACTGTGCTTCTTCTCGACGGATTTTATCCCATTGGAAAAATTGTGCCAGCCGCGAATGCCCTGTATGCGAGTCAATAAGAAGAGTACATTCAAGTGCTCATCACTTAGGCAGACTGATTCAGATGCTAGTAAACTATCTCTGGCGAATGCGGTGAATGGAGACGCCACCACCCCATCTGCTGCAGTAGTTCGCTCTCCGATCCCGCAAAATGTCGGCCATCGTGCCCCATTGTCCATGCCCACTACCACTCCCACCGAGGTTCGCTCACCGCTACTGCATCAATAATTTAGTCGAGCTGCTCACTCTCTGACCTTCTTGTTCGTCTTCTCTCTGTTCGGTCAGGTCGTGTCAGTGTAGGTCGTCGGCCCTGGTGTGGTTCTCTAATCGCATGGAGGCCAGCGACAGAGAAGCAGCATTAAGGGAAGATTTGGAGAAATCGCATTATTGTCATGCAGTGGTAAATGTGTTAGGACAGGGATGAGTGTTGGATCCAAGACAAGCATTGCTAAAGACTGTTCTTGAAATAATGTCTTTGCCATTCAGGCAGTAGTAATTGGGTTAAGGCGATTTCAAAGTGTTGAAGTAAGCCAGAGAATTGGCCTGTGGGGTGGGAATGCTGAGGTATTAGAAATGTTGACAGAACAGAGTGGAGCTTGTCTTGTCCGCACAGCCCAATTTCTCTGACACCGTGTCTAGAGGTATATTTCGGACACTGATGTAACCTAGTCTACTTTTCCGCACCATGGTGTGGTGAAGAATACGTCAATGAAGGCTGAAACAAGTCACAATCCAGGCATAAACATGTCTGGCGTAAGGGAGAAACCAGGGTCTATTAATATCCTTGTCCTCGTCGTCCTGTTCTCCCGTAGGCAAGTTCCGCGGCGATGCAATGGAGACGGAAATCTCGTGAGCGGATTGGCTCTCAGTCTCCGGAGCGTCATTCAATGCCCGCGTGACACCACACAGCCGAAGTCGCACCCCCAGTCACACGACGTCGCCAACATGGCGTGCTTCTCACCTTCGATCAATGGAATAACACCAAAATTGCTGCTATCCGTCACGCACATACACTAGGAAGTTACAATGAGCATATTAGACATTCACCAGTTTCGTTCATTGCAATATAATCTGGTTTGTGAAATTATGGCGTAAATTAAGCCCGGTGGTTAGAATAAGTTTTGGATAAGTACTTACTGCTTTCTAAAAATGTGCGTGAACTGGTTGGGTTTTAAATGAGGCTGAACTTGTAATTGTTCTAGAATCGAAATGAAGATACGGCATAGAATCCGAGCAAATCTACTTAATATTCACATTTATGTTCTAAATTACGACAGGATTGATAGGTTCCTTTTGAGCACACATGACCAAGTTTTTTTACATTAGTAGAGTATCCTCTGTCTCAGGAATTGTTAATGACGACATCATTTGAAATTAGTGCGAATTTTCAGTCGTGGCTTTTCGTTCAAAGATTGACATTGAATAGCCTGTTAGAGGTGAAATATCGCAGACTGATCAACATGTAGGAAGGTACTTGTGAAACCTGCTTTGGATGACCAATCAGATTCCGTTTTATTTTGTGTAAGACGTTCAGCAACAGGGACTACAGCATCGTCGCGATGTCTGAAACGCGCCTGGTGTGCGCGGACCTAAATAGGGAGATGACTGTTAGTCCGTCCCTCTTTGATAGCCACACCAACTTGGTTAGCTGCCAGCACGCGATAGAAGAATAGCTGGAAGAACCGAGTGTATTCCATACTACCGCATGCAAACTCAGTGGGCTAGAGGTTGAGGAGAGTTGGAGTGGGGAAGGAGTTGGCTGCGAGGGGGTTGATGCTGCCCACGGACTCACGGGCGTGCCTTGACGACGGCGAGAGTGCGGGAAGAGAGAGGAGGGCACATGTCCACGTTTCGATTCTGGTGCTGAAACTTCCCGTTCCCCTGCTTTAAATCGTGACTCAAAATGCGTGGATATGAAAATATGGTATTCTTAGCCAAATGGCTATGGCTATTTGCAAATGAAGTGGTAACTATTTAATGTAGTTGTGAGGGCTTTAGAAAATTGCTTAATGTAAAATATAAACTAAGCAGTTACAACGCATTTCTTGTTATTGGATTTAGTGTGTTAGCAAATATTGTGTGGTTTCAATGCTTAAGAAAGAGAGGCGCATACATCCCTAAATGTGAGGCATGCATTCGCTGGTAACAATCATAACTCAGTCAATTAGTAAACCGACACTGCATCCTCAATTGACAAAGTACATTAGTGGATCCGTTAAAACCCATGAGGTGTGCATGCACTCAAATTGCGGATTTCACAGACGACGAACAGAGAAAGTGATAGCAATGTAATCCCAAAATAATACTTATCCAAACCTGCAAAGGATGCAAATTAATGTTTGTTTTGCATGCTTTACCTTAAATTAAGCACTCCAGAAACCCAATACAATTTTACTCATTGTTTAAATAAATGAGAAATCAGTTTGGTTAGTGTCTTTCGCCACCTCCAACCAATCGGATTGATCACCTTGGGTTAATGTCTGGTGCCGTGCCATGCTCCGATGGGTAGTTGTCTGTCTGCGTGAAGTGAACGTTGATCTAGCGAGCATGAGTGATGCTTATTTACGCGTTGATAGTTTGTTGAACGCCGTTGACGGTTGATGTTCCCTCACTCAGTCTGTTATAAAAGATTTATGTGTTCTAATGTGAACAAGTCGTTGTATCCGTGTGTTGCCTTACGTGGCGGGTCGTTACGGACTGATGGCTAGCAGGGTTGTTAGGTAGTGCTAACGAAGATGCTTCATGCGAACTTTTAGCCAGGCTTTTGTTAGTTGTTTAATGAGGGTCGTATTTTTCATGGTGGATTTGGTGTTTTTGTTTTTTTTGCTGAAGTAGTTTGAATTAATTTGTGTGCGATTCATGTTAATGTCCCTCTTGTTGTGCATATTGCTGTATAGGACTGCGTGTTGCATTGATTAAGTATTTATTTTAGGATATCTGTAGTGGACCAAGACGGATTCATGGATTTGTCCAAAAAGACCGACATCATCGACTCAAATACAGTCACAACACCAAGTGGTAGTTGCTCAGACTCCGATGACCTTTGTCATCTACAACAGCAGTCTAGTGGAAATTCTCCCCAACCCTCGCAACACAGTTCGACGCATCAGAGTAAAGATGCCGCGTTGGGCATATCAGAGATCTGCGATCCTGTTACGGTCGCCAAATGTTCCCCAAGAAGTCCCCAGCCGACGGAATGTAGGACTAGTCCTAGGGCAACTCCAGCTGAATGTTGTGGTGATATAACTGGTCAGTCCTGTCAGAGCCTGGACGTGTATTCTGAGGTCAACAAGGCACCTGCCCAGCCATTTAACACCGTCAATGCTCCCTCCGCACCATCGGGGCAAGGGTCTATTCCACCTTCTTACGTCCAACATCCATGCTCGCCAGCCGCTCCAAAATCTCCTCCAATGACGCAGACTGGTCCAGTTGATATTCAGCAATCCGAGGGAAATAAAGAAAACGGGGTCGATACCACCCTATCTGCTGCATCACGTTGCTCTCCAACTTACCGGGATGTCGGGCAAAGTGCTCCATTGTCCACCCCCACTACCACTGCGTCTGGTATGTCTCAGGACAGTAGTGGCAGTACCGATGAGACAGACTGGCGAGCTAGTTTCGATCAAGAACACCGAGACCACGTTGTCCGTAGAATGTAA